TTTATACCAAAAACTTATGACCCTAGAAAAGACCAAAAGCACACAGATTCTATTTTACAGCATGTGGTCACTGAAAAACTCCACCATACACTCACAGAGAACGAGAGAAAAAAGACAAATAACATCTTAGTATTGCAAAAAAAACTGCCCTGACCTCGAGAATTTGGTGGCCACACACAGAATGCGAACCACTACTGTAAAGAGCGGGTGCTAGACGGACCTCCCAGCAGCCAGACAGATCCTGCAAGATCTCAGGAGTCATCAGCTTCCCAAAAGGGCCTAAAATCTGAAGGAAGGGCGAAAGGGGAAGAGAACCCTGAAGACAAAGGAAGCAGGCAGGAGAATGTGCATCCTGACTTGCCGCCAGCACCAGGCTAATGTACCCAGACGGACTCCAAGACCCTCTAAGAACAGCTCCAGGCAGAGGGGCCTTCTGGGAGTCACCAAAGGAGCTGAAACACACACACACCTGCAGACAGCACCTCTCAGCTGGGCTCTGCAGAGAAAGCGCTCCTGGCCAAGTATGTGGAGTGGCCACAGCAGCCCTTCGTGGGGACCCCAGCACATACAAACCTGGGAAGCTCCTTGCATAGCCGGGCACACACCTCCTTGCTGCTTGGAGCTGCACAGCGCAGCACTGCTCAGATTGTTCCCATCAAAAGCCCTCCTCTCTGGCTCAGTACACATTAACATCCCTAGCAATCACACTGACTCACAACTAGCAAGTCAGAGCCCCTAGCTGTAGACTGTTTCTGCCTGCCAGCATCTCTGCACAGGTTTTCTAGAGACAGGCGTGGCACACCGCACAGAGTCGTGGTCTTCCCCACTTGCTGGGGCGGCCCAGAGCTCAGCTCCTTCCTCTCATTCCTCTCCACAAGTCTCTCAAGGCACATGTGTCCTGTCCCTGCCTAGCCTGGCCCTCAACTCCCCCTTGCCTTGTGCTTCCACTCCAGCATACCTTCCTGCAAAGCCTTCTCCCCACTGTCTTGGGCTCCTCCCTGCCCACACAAAAGGGACAAGCAGGTAAAAATATTAGAGGGGAAGCCCTTCTTACCAGATTAAGATGAAAAACATAAAATATAAATAGGGACAGGATGGACTTGGTAAGAATTTGCAGCTTCCATACAAAAACAGTATCAACATACTGGAGAGAAACTGAAGAATGTTTGCAAAACATACAACAAGGAATAGTCTCCACACACATGGCTTTTAAAAATCCATGTTAAAAAGATGCACCAGTCTGGCCAACACAGGGAAAACCCATCTCTACCAAAAAATACAAGAATTGGCCGGGCGTGGTGGCTCAAGCCTGTAATCCCAGCACTTTGGGAGGCCGAGACAGGCGGATCACGAGGTCAGGAGATCGAGACCAGCCTGGCTA